ATTTCATTATCAACATGTCTGTAAAATTTCATTTTTGGTGAAAATGCATATCTGGGATTGATTACTTACAAAAAAGTCAACCCAATCGTGTTATTGCAAATAATATTGCCTGAAGGTTTTATGTAAACACATACCAACTAGTCGTTTGGTCTGAGCAGCGAACTCTTTACTAAGCTGTGTCCAACGCTCCTTCTCTCCTGCCAGCCCACTGATCAGACTAGAGGCGGTTTGCATCTTGTGTCGACACCTTTCTGCATCCTCCCGTAAAGTCTGAGGAAAAAGAGGGAGAGAAGGTAAAATGGATTCTGTCACTGTGCACACTGTGCAGCTGTGCTTGTTCACATTTATTGACTGAGAGTGTCAGTTTATTTCAGTGTCATTTAATGTGCCCTAACAAAATTCACATTGCCTTATCATTTAATAGACAGGTGTGGTTTCTCAGGACACCTGTTTCAGTGATATCTGTCAGGAAGTATGGAGATTTTATATATAAAAAAAAAAAATAATAAAAAAAAAATATACCTTTCTTCATTTTAATTCCCAGTGCAAATATGCCCACTTCTTTCAATGTGTGGAAACAGGTAAATTATAAAAACTACTGTATAAAGTCAATTCATATTTTAATTTGATCATTGGTAAAGTCAACATCTGTTCTCTTAGGAACATATGATTAGGCCTGACGTAAATCAACACCAAAGGATCAGTCAGTCAATTGTGTTAATCACACAATTATCAATGAGCAAGGCTCATTATACATTGTGAATGGGAACATTGATGTTTGCTTCAAATCATTTAAAAGATTTGTTTTAATTTGGTAGAGGCACACAGAGTACAAGCCTGAATGATTCATCTGCAAGATGGTTTTAGGTTTGTTTACAAAATTGCTTATTACATTCAATTTTATGCAAAAATGCTAATTAGTGATTGAGTATTTACTTCAGGCACTAAATGGCAGATGATTCACCATTTTTTACAGAATAATTAGAAAAGTGGAAAATCTGGGTTCATTTTCTTTGGGCTATAGCTGGAATTTTATTCTCTGGTTTAATTTAGGGTTACTAATCAAACCCAATTGAAATCCTTATTTTTTTTATCATTTGTGTCATGATGATGACATAGCTTTGACATAGAGTTTAGTGCCAGCCTTCCCCAAAACATCTGCCTGGAAGTTTGTAGAAATTCTGAAGACCTTGAGAAGATGGTTCAGGTATGGTTATTTAGGGGCCAATTTCTGTAGGACAGTGACCCTTCAGAAGCTGGACTGAACATCCCTGCTGTAATCTATCTAACACAGTTGTTTACCTGTTTTTCCAACATGGCCTTCTCATACTCAGTTTGAACTACATCCAGCTCTGCTTGCTTAGCATCTAGTTCTGCCTGGGCTTTCTGGAGGTCCACATTAGCTATGGCCAGCCTGTTCTCCTGCACTGCCAGATTAGCCTGAGGATAATGAAGAAAGACAGTGTTGAAGAACGCCTAACTGTTGTGCAGCAAAAGAAAAAATAGGGAGTGATAAACTGCATTTGCATTACTTCATTATAAATATGCAGTTCTAAATCAAATTGTGATTTTTCTGCTAAAAATTGCAATTACAATTTATAATACAATTAACTGTTTTTGTTTGTCTTTTTGTTTTGTCTTTTTAAAGAGCTCCAGGTCTGCTTGACTGCAGGGCTGCACAATTTATTCCAATAATCATAATGCCATAATTATATTATTTTGCCATATAGGTTTTCACTCACATTTGGTGGTTGGTGAGTGTACATTTTTGGACCAAGTATACAACTATTCATGAGCTGCAATCAGGTTATATGCACTGGTTCACACACAATCAATCAATCAATCAATCAATCAATCAATCAATCACAGTTGCACGCAATAATTGTGATTGCAATATGCAGCCCTGAATGACACTGTGTCACGTGTGTGTGTTCCTGTTTAGTTCCTGTTTGTCCTTATTTGGTCCTTCCAGTTCCTTTTCCCATTATTAGTAATCACCTGTTCCCTGTTATTAGTTATTCTCATCACCTGTCTGCCCCTCATTATCTGCCCTATTTGAGTTCGAGCCCATTCTGTTCTCCCTCGTCTGGAATTGTTCATGTCAACCTTGCTACGTGTGTTTTTCTGTTTTCTTTTGATTATTAAATTTAGTAAAATTCTCCTACGTCTCCTCGCTCCTTTGCTCCGCGCTCCTACACAGCAGCAGTTCCGTGACAGAATTCCAGACCCACAAAATGTGAGCGGGCTCGCCGTGTATACGGCGCTGGATGATGCGACGCTCAACTCTTTGGTCTGGATCGGGGCTAATTACCATTGCCCCGTGGACCTCCCAGACACCACTGGACTAAGCTGGAGGGAAGGGATCCTCCGGTGTCTGGAGAGCATCCGGCCCAGATCCAGAACCAGCTCTCCGTCAAGCCCGCCGACCGCTGCTGACTCAGGCCCGCCGGCCGCCGCTGACTTAGCGCTTCTGGACATGGCGCTGCCTCCAGAGTTCTCGGCTCCTGTCCTCGCCCCGGAATCATCCCCGGAAAGTTCTCCTTCGTCTCCGCTGGTCCCGGTTAGCCCTCCTTCGTCTCCTGATCCCCCCGAGTTAACCAGCCTTGCACCTCCAGAGCACCCTCCAGTGTCCACTCCTCGCAAGCGCCCTCCAGAGCCAGCTCCTCGAAAGCGCCTTCCAGAGCGCCCTCCAGTGTCCGCTCCTCGTAAGCGCCCTCCAGAGCCGGCTCCTCGAAAACGCCTTCCAGAGCGCCCCCCACTGCCCGCTCCTCCAGAACGCCTTCCAGTGCCCGCTCCTCCAGAGCTCCCTCAAGTGCCCGCTCATCCAGACCGCCATCAAGTGCCCGCTCCTCCAGAGCGCCCTCCAGAGCGCCCCCCAGGATTCCTCATTTTCCCCAAGAATTTTGTTTTGGGGGGCCATATACCCGTGGCCGAGCCAGCTAAGGCCACGGAGGATCCGCCATGGCCTCCTGAGCTGCCAGCTCCACCATGGCAACCTGAACTCCCTGATCCGCTATGGCTTCCAGAACTGTCTGCTCCGCCATGGCCCCCTGAGTTTCCTGATCTGCCATGGCAACCTGAACTCCCTGATCCGCCATGGCTTCCCGAATTGTCTGCTCCGCCATGGCCCCCTGAACTCCCAGATTGGAGGGCACCCGCCCCCCCCTCCCCGATGGTACTGTTACAGCGCGGGACGCGCCTTCCGGGAGGGGGGCGAT